TTGGACACCACCACCAGTCAATGAAACTCCTCCAACTTGTAATTCAATTTATGAACCGATTCAATCCAATGTTGAGGAGACAGAGAAAGAAGAAGGGGAAGAGAATTGGGCTTTTTTTTTTTTTTTACTTCTTTTTCTATTGTTTTTTCTTTTTCTTTTTTCTTTCTTTCTTCTTTTTTCTTTGCTCCTAAGGAAAAAAGAAAGTTGGAAATGGCGAAATATATAATTTTATTTGTCCACCAACGGCGTGACGTGATGCCAAGACCGGTAGACGGACACCAGACAAAAGGTGACGCGTAATAGAAAGGGAACCGAAGTCATTCCTTTTCCAATGCACTTTTCACGAGCTCTCTCAACTGTAAATTTATGACCCGTTTGAATCTGCTTTTATGTCATTTTTGGAAGTGCTTTTATGTCATTTTCTAGAAGGTACTTTTAAAATGGCTAAATTGCTTCTAAAAATATTTGACAAAAAACGTTCGAAGTGTTTTTAGGTTCCAAAAGGTATATTTTCAAGAAGCACTTTTAAATTTAATTGTTTTTTTTCCATAACCTACTTGAATTTTTTAATAAATATTTCAATGCATTTCAACCAAAAGCGCTTTTCAGTAAAGGCATGTATGATCAGATGTACTTGGTACATAAGCACTTCCAAATATGGTAATAGGATAAAATGTATAAAATGAAAATCTATACTATTTGATAATAGGATAAAATGTCAACTATAGTCCTTTTGAACAAATTAGTTTTAATATTTGTTTTTCTTAATACAAGCAATAGTCTATAGGGGAGAGGGTTTCACACACGCACACTATTATAATGTTATGAAAGTTCAAATTTGAGATCATTGGTTTGCAAATCAAAGCCATTTTTTATTGGGTTAATCCTGTTATCATTTTATATTCGTTTTTACAACCAAGAGCACTCTAGTAATTCAACCTCAATTTTACACTTACTTTCTCCCTCCCACTTCATACTAGTCTTTATAACAAAAAAAAACAAAAAACAATGCCTTCCTACAGTAAATTCCTCATAAGCACATGCATAGGCTAGCATGTGTGGAGGTCGAGGTTTCTAGTAAAATTAGGGTTAATAATTTTATTAGTCCTTGAATTTTGACCCGATTTACATTTGAGTACCTCAATTTTCAAAATAGTTCTCGTGGTCCTTTAACTTTAGTTTCTTTTGGACAAATGCTCATGCCGTCAATTTTGTTAACTTTTTCTATTAAATGCAGGGCAAAATGTTATTTTTATATTAAAACTAAAAAAATGAATAAAAAATTATATCTTTAAAATAAAAACCAAATCAAATCAAATAAAAAACCAACAAAAAATAATAAATAAAGTTTGGAGGGAGTAGAAATCGGGATAGAGGGGGAGAGAGAGAGAGTTTAATTTTAATTTTTTAGTTTTTTTATTATTTTGTATTCATATTTTAATCAATTTTGATACAAAAATATCATTTTGCCCTTGCATTTAATAGAAAAGTTAACAAAATTGACGGTATGACCATTTGTCATAACAAAACTAAAGTTAAAAGACCACGGGAACCATTTTGGAAATTGAGGTACTCAATTTCAAATCGGGTCTAAATTTAGGGACTAATAAAATGATTAACCCACAAAATTTTTTAACAATATCCAACAGCAAGGACAAAATTGTTGTGTGGAAGTTAACTTGAAAGGGTGATTCATGACAAAAATATATATATAATAAAAAACAAAGGACTATATGATAGTTTCATACCATAAGGACGGTTTTGATAAAACCCAAAATAAATAGAGATATTAAACCAAGGTGGTTGGTGTGAGTGGTTCGGCACTCTCATTCCTTAAGAGAAGGTCAGGGGTTCGATCCCTGCTCTCGTATGGAGTCACCACTTTGGCCAGCACTTTACCCCTTACGGGCCGACCCGGTGTGAGCGGGGATTAGTCTGGGTTGTGGTTAAGGCTTAAAGGTGCCACCCATAGTTGGGGCCCATCCAGGACCACCTCGTGGTTCAAACCAAAAAAAAAAAAA